CATTTCCTACTTGAGGACAGAAAAACTAAGCCTAAAATATTCTTCTGTTCTAGCTACTTCATTTTAAAAAGACATTAAAAAGACAATTTTAGATGTACTGATGGCCACTAGTTTAGATAGTTTTGAAAGAGGATTAGACAAATTCATAAAGAATAATGTCTCTAAACATAGATATTCATCTTGCTACCTGAAGGCCTCTATTTTGAGAGGCAGCAAATTATGCTTTAAATATGAGCTGTTGAGAAGTAGCAACAGATGAGTATCTTTATGACTGTACTTGAAAATCTTCTAGAGGCACTATGATGATCTCTGATGTTATAGGTAGGTGTTTGGCTATTGTCATGATCATGATAGTTATTGAACAAAACAATGTTTTCCAGTGAATGTTTTCCTGTTGAAATTAGAAATAGAAAGGTTCACGTTAAGGTCATTTTATTTATTTATGGTCAGATCCAGTCAGTATTGATCAGAATTGAGGGGAAATCACGTCTGAAGCTCCTATTGTGTGTGTGGTCCCTCAAAGCTCATAATATTTGGATGGGGAGAAATGGCCTCAAGTGGAACCCTGACAAGATGATTTGGATCCCTGGAACTTGGAGATGTTCTATTCACAGAGTCACTCGGTCAGGGAGATCACAATTTCTAAATGTGATATAAATAAATAAGTTGCATCTTTAGGCCTGAGTGCAGTTGCACTTCCTCCTCTGACAACTGATGCACAACTTGAAGGTCTTCTTGGACTCACAGCTCCTGCTTGAAGAGCAAATTGCATCTGTGGCTAAGAATGCCTTTGCCCAAATCCATCTTGTACCCAGTTCCTACTATGGATATATGATGTGTCCAAAAATATATGTAACTGTTTGTAGGGGGGGGAAATGTAAGATGAAAGTAAGAATCAGAATCTTGGGGGATCTCTTGATAACTGATGTTTTATAGGAGGCAATCCACAACATGATAGGTATTTTATGAATGACAAGCCTTCCACATTTTTGTGAGGATATCCACAGTATATTTTCAGAATTCTAAATGAAAGTCTAATGCTATGTGGGAATCATCTTGGGAGACAGGAGGAAGAGCCAACAGTCTGGTAAAAATCTGAGCCCGATGGACAGGTAGGAATGAAGCTTCTAAGAAAGGCCTTTCGCCAGTTTTCAGGGGAATAAAAATAAGGGTAGGAAAAGATACTTTTAGACTTGCAGAATTTTGTTATGGTAACTTTACAATAAAGCTGATCTTAATTTTCATGACTGGTACTTTTTGATGGACTGCCTCGAAGGACTGGATGTATGTATCTCATTTACAGAATGATGGAATGAGGAAGCAAGAAATAAGGCAGCTATAGTAACATGTAACTAGGCTTCCCAAGTATTTGAATAAGATACCTTTTTTGACAAAAAAAATATATAATGCAGATAGACCCCCCTTGCCTCCTAATGCTTCCCTTGTACTTTTAGTATTTGGTGATTGAAATAAAACACAATGACCAAAGCTATAACAAATTGAGTAATACTTTAATTTGTATTTTATTAATCACAATACTAATTGAATCATGGGGATATTTTTCAGTCTGAGAAATATATTTTCTTATTTATTATACCACAATATTTAATTAGAACACATCTTGTTAATGCTGCCCTTTTTATTATGCTGTGATTGTCTCTACAGCAGATCTAAGTTTTTATTTATATTTCTTGTTGAAGTCATAAAAAAACAGATTTTGCATACAAAAATTTGTTATTAAAGCCATAAATTGCCCAGTTTTTCCTTCCCCATTAGCCTTAAAGAAAATCCCTCCTCTGATGGTGATGTTTGCTTTGAAAAATAATGACTGCTGGGTCTGATCTACCTATTTATATCAGGATTGCAGCAATAGTAGAACTAATTACAGATAGTTCTTGTTTAGAAATCACCTCATTTAGCAATTGTGTCAAAGTTATGACATTGATGAAAAAGTAATTTTACAGCAATCATCACATTTACATCCTTTATAGGACTGTAAAACCAAAGACAACTGAAGTAAGAACATGAGCATGGTTGCAATTTCACTTAATGACCGCTTTGTTTAACAACTGAGTTGTTGGTTCTAGTTCTGGTTACTAAACTAGGACTACTTGTAAATTCTTGCTTGCCTCTGGTTGAATGGGCGTTTCTCCCTTCTTCTCTGCAAAGATCCAAGAGCTAAAAGGCCTGTGAGCCAACAAACGGGACCTTAAAAAACGGGCACTGTGCTGACCAGAGTGAGAGAGGGGTTTACAGGGTAGACTCTGCCAAGGAAAGTGATAGTTGATGATAAGTAACCCCGTATAGTTTTCTTGGTAAACTTTGTGCCAGTAAATAATGTATATAGTAGCACATACGGGCAGCCTAGAGGAAAGAGGAGCTGATACTGTTGTCTAGTTTCTCTCCTTTCCATCTCATTGCAGGCAAAAGGTCCATGAATCTTCTACAATAACTCTGTAGCCTCTGTGGCTTATAGCCCACATTTTAGGAAGGATTGGCCCAAAAAAAAAATTAATGTTCATATATCTAAACTCAAAACAAAATACATGATCATGTCTATTCTGTATTAGGACAGTAAGGAAAGATTGTTTTGTCACCATTGTAGCCTTGGAATATTGCCCAGACAAGTTTTTCCTAGTACTGTAATTTCGAATCTAATCTGTTTTAGCTCTTCAAGAATCCTTGAAAGTACATGTTTGCAAAAAGACTGTTCTTCTGAAGGACGAATTTCAGCTTATAAAGCGGAGGGCGAGAGCTACGGACTTAGTTGGGTGCGAGGGACTTGGTTGAGTGCAGCAGTCTTCTACTGCCTGTGTGCTCAATCTTTGGCCATATATTGGCTGAGAAGAAGCGAAGAGGGAAAGGTCTTACTGCAATAGCTGCTGCAGAGTGACTAATAATTGGTCAACTTTAATTGATTCAGGTACCTCCAAAGGGAGGAAATATCACCAATATGTAAGTAAAGTTTGATTTCTTGTTTCTCATTCAGATTCAGCTTTGGACAGCATTGTATTCTTACTAAAGGAATATCTTTACAATCTCAGTGTTTGTTTTTCAGGTGTATTTGCTAATAAGGAAAAGAAACATTCACTCTGGTATACAAGAAAGTTTCCTCCAACTTTGATGGAACTGGGTCTAATTTTTAGGAACTGAAACTTTGAAAAGCTTTTCCTTGGCTTTGCTTTTGGAAAACATTTTGTAGGATATGCTATTCTCTTTATTTCTCTCCTGTCCTCTTCTCCTCAAAAAGCTTAATATTATGGAGATAGGTAGGTAGTTTATCTGTGTACGTTTGGCTTTTAGAGTATAGCAAATAACGGTTGCCTCTGTCAAATCAGTTGTTCAATTCTTTTTTAATACGTTATCTTCAATTTTTAGTTTCAGGAATACAATCACTAACTTTGAAACAGAGACGCAGCACTAGAAGGAAGTCAGCAGGAGCTGATTTTTCCAACTCTACTCTGGCATTAGTCTTCTGAGACCACTGAAAACATCTCTTTTAGGTTCTGTCCCCTGATTAATAGGTTTAACAGAGATCTATTCAAATTTCTTCCTCCTCAGGAAGGTCTTGAAGATATTTGAGGAGCTTTCAGAGAGGGTACTTAGGAGCTACCTTGAGAAGGAGGTGTAAAGTTGAGAAGCTCACTTTCTTCAGAGTCATTTCATCAGCACAACAGTAGATGATAGTAGCATGTTAATCAGGTATTTTAAGAAGCAAGAAATACTTGCTCCTTAAGAAATACCTAAGAAATACTTAGATATTATAAATTTGGAAGAAATTTAGAAAGTATACTGGACTTAAAATGACCCAGAATGTTAAAGATAAATATTTTCAAAACTTGAGACTATTTAAGGAGGTTTTCTCTTTTTTCATCAGTGGTACTTTATTCATTCCTGGGTTTTTCCTTGCCTTTACAATAAACATCAAGTGGGTTTTTTTTCTTCAATTCAGTCTTTCGGTAACATATCCAGTAGTTTCTGGCACTCTTGCTAGACACCTAAAAGTGTGTGGGTGAGTGTTGCTGTTGAATGATGGGGGGGGGGGGAGCAGGCTGCTGGAGACAGCTGATGTTCTAGAAGGAAACTGTTCCTTCCTGTCAGGGCAGCTGGGAAACAGCCACAAAAGCTATAGGCCCAAGTTGCTATTATAGAAGTGTAACTACTTTTGGGCAATGGCTTGTATTAAGGCCTTGTGAGTCACTAATGTAATACACCGGTCTGTCTGATATTTGATGAAACCTCTGTTAGGCAGGTACTAAATCCAAAGATATATGTCAAAATCAGAGATGAATGATATGTAAAAGACCTTGCCCAAATCGCCCAAGAATGTATGGTATAACGTTGCAGCTGGATTAAAATTTTAGATTGAGAGTGGAGAGGGGGGGGATTGCTTTTTTAGAAAAGTCTTATTGGTGAGGGATTGGGCAGCTGTCCAAATTTAAAGGGGAAAGAGTGATTCAGAGTGTGCATTTTACAAGCCTAGGAAAAAGCTTAAAAGAATAGTAGGCAGGTGCTATGCATAGACCAATGTGTATTCCAAAATGGCTTTTCTTTTTTAAATCTGAATGGTTGTACAATCTTATTATTGATATATGTTTAAATGTGTATATAATAGTTTATGCCTAACCTATATCAAATTTTGCAGCACAATGGAATCCCTGAAATATATTATGTAAAATGGGTCAGAATTGCCTGTTGATCAGCAGGTTAGTTTTTCAAAACCAGAGCAGATCTGGACCACATATTTGATTGGAGAGAGAGCAACAAAAAAGTTGGCAGGGCCAAGCCAGAGACTGTGGACAAATGACCAGGTTTAAAAAAAAAATCCCTATGAATTTTGTGCAACAGCTAAGAATGCTATTGGTTTTTTTATTCTAATCATGTTTCTTTCTCACTCTTAGCCACAAGACCTGGAGGAGCAATATTACTAAGGGATTGGAAAGAATTCCAGAAGCAATGCTTTTATGCTTTTCATACCTTGTTTTCATTAGGAGGTGCTAAGTTATGGCCGTGTGGATCCAAGCTCAACAACTTCAAGGAGACGCTCTAAGACAAATGCAGGCCTTATACGGACAACATTTCCCCATAGAGGTTCGCCATTACCTCTCCCAGTGGATTGAGGCACAGCCATGGTAAGTGAGTATGAAATCTGGTTGTCCAGCAGCATTTTCAGCCTTGCAGAGGGATGGTATGGAATGGGATATTTATCTTTTATGACGGAAACAAACTTTTGTCCTGCATTATACAGGAAGCATATTATTTTAGCTGTATTGTTTTGGTCTTGAATATCAGTTTACTCCCCTCAGATTACCTTACTGCAATGATAACCATCATTAGGCAATGTGATCACATAACATCATATTATACAACTGCGTTGCTTATTGGTGAAAATTATGGTTCCAGTTGTGGCCATAATTCGAGGACTACCTGTTCCAGAGTTTCTGCCCATTGTATGAACATCCAGAAATGGCAACATATGCTGCCTTTGCCTTCTCATTTTGACCCAGGTTATATCAAAGGTTGTTGTTCTCAGGTGAGAGTACTCACTTTTCTGCACATACCCATCTCTGCTTTGTGATCTAATTTTCAGGGATTCTATAGACCTTGACAATCCTCAGGAGGGTGTCAGAGCTGCACAATTGTTGGACGGACTGATCCAGGAACTTCAAAAAAAGGCAGAGCACCAAGTGGGCGAGGATGGCTTCCTTCTAAAGATCAAACTAGGCCATTACGCTACTCAGCTACAGGTGAGTTACAAAGGCTGGGAGTTTGGAAGGTAAAAGAAGGCGTTTTCAAACTTTGCTGTGAGTGAAAGGCTAGTTTCTCACTCTTTCTACCCATTCTTAAGTTGTTCACTTTTTCTTTATAGAATACATATAAACACTGCCCTCTGGAGTTAGTACGCTGTATTCGACACATCCTATACCACGAGCAACGACTAGTTCGAGAAGCTAGAAATGTCAGTATGATTTATTTCCTTTTGCATAAATGTTTCTCCTTCCTATATTAGTGTGGCCAAATATATTTCTTTGGCAATAATATCCGTACTTTTTCTAAATTTACAGAGCCCATTACTAGCTAGCAGCATGGCTGATGCCGTGACTCAAAAGCATCTTCAGATCAACCAGACTTTTGATGAATTACGCCTGATCACCCAGGACACTGAGAACCAACTGAAAAAGCTTCAGCAGCATCAGGAATATTTCATCATCCAGTACCAAGAGAGCCTTCATCTACAAGGTATATCTGTGGGAATAGAGGAGGAATAGTATCTCATTAACAAAATTGAAATTCTAATACTAATATCCAGCCTTTGTAATATGAATATTAACATATAATGATGAAGTAATAGAACCTACATTTGAATATGAAAAATTCCACTCTCAACTCTGGCATCTCCTAGTAGGACTAGAACAGACCTCTGTTGAAAATCCTGCAGAACCAGTTTAAAGTGAAGTGAGCTGGATGGATGGTATTCTTTCCTATGTTCTTCAACTGGATTTTTAAAGGAAGTTGTACAGGTAGCCCTTGACTTATAGCCAGTCACTTAGTGATTGATCAAAGTTACAACCAACCTAAAAAATGGGACTTACAACCTGGATTCTGACGATCAGGCCCCCTTCCATGGTCATGGGACTGAATTTAGGGCACTCATAGGCAGCATCATATAATCATGTTTTACAATGGTTTTGCTGAAAACTGGATTTCTGTTTTGTTTTTTTTTTGTTGCAAAACTGAGTCCATAGTGAACCATTAGTCCGCTTAACGACTGTGGAATTCACCTAACAATCACCATGTTCACATTACAACTGTGGTATTCACTTAATGGCTGCCACAAAATATGTTGTAAGATCGGGTAGGTCCTGTGTGATCAACATGTTTTATCATTATGACATACAGCCATAATGGGCAGTATGCCAAGGACCACTTATAAAGCGGCCACACAGATAAACTTGAATGCAAGGAGCTCCCTTCTGGTAGGTGGGAACTGACAGGTAATTTGAGGTAATTCAAGGCAAGGCCTAATTTTATGCTTCCTTTCTAGCCCAATTCACTCAGCTCTCTCAGCTAAGCCCACAGGAACGTATGGTCCGTGAGCCTACTCTGCAGCAAAAAAAGTCATCTCTGGAAGCTTGGCTACACCGGGAGGCTCAGACACTGCAACAGTATCGTGTAGTAAGTCCCACCTCCCAAGTCCTAATTCTGACTTTCTATTTTCTTTCCTATTAGGCTTTTGTTGTTGTTGTTGTTGTTGTTAATACCATATTCAAAATGCTTTTTGTACTCCTCAGGAACTGGCTGAAAAGCACCAGCAGACACTGGCTTTGCTTCGCAAGCAGCAGACTATAATCTTGGATGATGAGTTGATCCAGTGGAAGAGGAGGCAGCAACTAGCAGGAAATGGTGGCCCTCCTGAGGGGCCTTTAGATGGCCTGCAAGCATGGTAGATAGCATGAGAGGGAGCAGGGGTTAGAGAGGAAAGAAGATGTAGAAGAAGAGCAGGCAGAGCTGTGGGGAGCGGGGAATTAAGCACGTCATCAGCTTAGAGTCATTATGTTACCACAAATGGTCTAAGTCCAGCCCTCCTGAATTCATGCTTCTTTGCCTTGTGTTCATCTCTGCTTTAACTTCCTCCACTCAGCTATCTCTTCCCCCACTCTGTGCTTTTGGTCACCCTGCACTGCAATGCCTACTCCTGCTGCCCACCACTATCCCTTTCTGCCCCCAGTTCACCTTCACCATCTTCTTCTTCCCACTGCTCTCCAACAGCAGAGTGTAGGACAATCAAAAGGGTGGGGGCAGATAGCCAGGTGGGGAGAGTCGAAGCACATGCTGCAGTCATAAATGTGGGCAAGCAACCAAATTTTGATTATGTGCTTCAATGGCTGTAACTTTGAGCAGCAATCTTAACTACAACTCATTCAGCACCATTGTAACTTCAAACAGTCACGGAACAAATGATAATTAAATGAGGACTACTTGCAAGTTGTATCTGTAAATGATTTTCACTAATCCCATTATATATAAGCTAAATATTTTGCACTCCTCTCTATGAGAAGATTATACTGCCTATAGTATGTCATAAGAGTGCTTGCATTCAGCTTAAAATAGTAGCTGCTATAACTAGTCCCTACTTCCTGATATCTTTCCTGTAGAATTTTCAGGATTGCATCCTGGCCTATAGATTGACAGAAATAAAAACCAGAAAAGGAGATTACTATTAATCTCAATTTGGAACGCTTTTTAAAATAACCTTCATCCTTGCCTCCTCTTTATGTCTTCAGGCTCAAGGCTAATTCAAATTAAATTTATGGTTGATCCAACAATTACATTGTGCAGCATATCCATAACATTAACAATCCACAAGCAAAATGAAATAATCAAATTAAAAACCATACTTAACAACCATACATGGTTACTACACAACAGGGCCATTTATTTTTATATGATTATCTCTTGAAATGCAAAACAACATTAATGTAGAATTGATCCAGTATCCTAACTTAATTGAACCCAAATAATAATAAATAACAATGATGGATAGTGAAAAAAATTGCAAAAGGTAGCCCATAGTCTGTGTATAATCCAATACTTCTCTTGAATTTCTAATCTGAAATAGCTGTCAGATAGTTGTTTTAGGCAATTTGAGCTTTGTCAGCATAATGGTTGGAGATAGCGTGTCTTGGCTTCATTAAGAAATATATATTGTGTTGGGATCATTTTCCCTAAGGCTTTTTGTGCTCCTCATCACATACTACTTTTCCTAGACCTAACTAACCCTACATATGCTCCCTCTTCTTTTCCTAATTCTAAAGTTGTTAGTCTTTCAAGAATGAATATGTTAGTCTTTCAGGTACCACAAGATTCTGTGACACTACTTTCTAGCATCTAGTTTCTGACCAACTAGAATATAATGAGTTTCTTCCCTAGGTGTGAAAAACTGGCTGAATTCATTTGCCAGAACCGCCAACAAGTACGCCGTGCTGAACACTTATACCAGCAGCTGCCTATTCCTGGACCCATTGAGGAGTTGCTCTCAGATGTTAATGGCACTGTCACAGACATAATTTCTGCTCTAGTCACTAGGTAGGATTGTGTTGCTTTCTACAGAGACCTTTTATTATTAGAATGAATTGTTCTTTCAATGCTTTTTTGCTTGTCTAATGTGTGTTGTTATTACCCAACTTCTTTTGCCAGTTGTGGGTTGTTACTGTGATATTTGAGTACAACTAGTCCTTGATTTAGGACCATTTCTTTAATGAGAGTTCAAAGTTATGGCCTCAGAAAAAGTGATCTATGACCCATCTTCGAAATTACAACCGTTCGACCACCCCCGAAGTCATGTGATCACAATTTGGGCTCTTTTTTATGACAGTTGCAGTATCTAGTAGTCATATAATTGCAATTTACAACCTTCTCAGCCAGCTTCTGACAAGTAAAATCAATTGGGGAAGCTGGCTTTCCTTCATTCACTTAATGACCTCAGTAAAAATGGTGGTAAAATTGGGCCTGGTCATGTGGTGACTTGCTGAAAGGCCATATCACTTAGTAGCCAAAAATCCAGCCCTGATTATGATCATAAGCCAAGGTATACCTGTAGTTTATAGATGTGGGCTGTTTTTTGCTTCATTGGGGTTTGTAGTTTGCCATTGTTTTCTTTGCTGATGAGCTGTATATACTGAGTCACAAAAGCTAGGACTTTTTTTTGCAGCCTTTCACCTTCTGTAATGATTGACTTGATCTCTCCCCCCCCCCCCCATCTTCTCTCCTTATAGCACATTCATAATAGAAAAGCAGCCTCCACAGGTGCTAAAGACTCAGACTAAGTTTGCAGCAACAGTACGGCTGCTGGTTGGAGGAAAGTTAAATGTTCATATGAACCCCCCACAAGTAAAGGCCACCATCATCAGTGAGCAGCAAGCCAAAGCTCTACTGAAGAATGAGAGTACCCGCAAGTATGTATGTTTCTTACAGGCTAAGGAAGCAAAGGAAAGCAGGACAATATTAATTTCTCCTGAACCCGCTTTCTTACTACTTGCTATCCTCCATAAGCGTGGCTTTCCAATCCCAGCACTTCTGAAGGATGCTGCACTAAGAAGATGATGTGAAGAGTATAAATTAATAAATAGAAATTTGCCATTAATATTCTTAAACAAGAATATAATCATGGGCAAGGTATCTAGTAACTTTCACTGTTTACCCAAGATGCTAAATTATTAAAAGCAAGAAAGTTAGTCTGAATTTCAACCTAACCTTCAGGGCTAGAAGCTTTAAGCCTTCTTATTTGATTGCTTCTTTGCCACTCTTACAACCTGTGACTAAGCCAGCTTTCATTACTTATATCCTTGTCACAGTTTGTCAGTATTTGGTTGGAGAAAACTTTCACCTGAGAAGGTAGAAATTTGGTGAACATTATAGGAAACATTTAAGCTTACCTAAAAGATTAAGACAAGGGCAACAGAGGAAAAAGTGATTGCTTTGTTTTAAGTAATTCAGTGTACATTATATATTCATTTGCTTATAATAAATGTCTCAGAATTCTGAAAAGCAGATTTTATTCAGCCATGATAACCAATCTAAAATGTCCACTGGATGGAGCCATATCATCGGTATCCCTCTGGTGCAAAATTAACACTTTCAGTGGGATGATAGTGAATCACCAGTGGTGTGTTGGCTTGCATTCAACTAGCTGCCATTTCTTTCTTTTGGCAGTGAGTCCAGCGGTGATATCTTGAACAATTCCTGTGTTATGGAATATCATCAGGCAACTGGAACACTGAGTGCTCATTTCCGCAACATGGTGAGAGATGCCTTCACTGATTCACACTATCTACTTCCAGCTCCACACCCCACTGTTTATTTTCCTCTTGAAAATGTAACTAAGGGAGAAAGCCTCATCACTATTGTAGTCCAACATCTCCTAAAGATTGACTCTAGATTTAGCCTTTAATAACTTGGTGTGGAAAGTAAAATTACAAAGTAAATTTCCCCTGGATGATCTGAGTATATAACTGAATTCATGCTTTTAGTCTTGAGTGTTATGTAGACTTTTTTGACAATCTGTTCTCTGTCTCCTGTTTCTTGTGTCTACCTTTATTATCTCATCCATCCACAGTCCTTGAAGCGGATCAAGCGTTCAGATCGTCGTGGTGCTGAGTCAGTGACTGAGGAGAAGTTCACCATTCTTTTTGAGTCTCATTTCAGTGTAGGTGGCAATGAGCTGGTATTCCAGGTGAAGACATTATCTCTGCCTGTGGTGGTAATTGTGCATGGCAGCCAGGATAATAATGCCACTGCCACAGTGCTGTGGGACAACGCTTTTGCAGAGCCAGGACGTGTGCCCTTTGCTGTGCCAGACAAAGTGATGTGGTCCCAGCTGTGTGAGGCCCTCAACATGAAGTTCAAGTCTGAAGTCCAGAGCAGTCGTGGACTCACCAAAGAGAACTTCCTCTTTCTTGCCCAAAAGCTCTTCAATAGCAGCATGAATCATCTGGAAGATTATAACAATATGACTGTCTCCTGGGCTCAGTTCAACAGGGTAAATAAGAAACCAATTAACAATCAGATTTTCCAGAAAACCACTTTGTGGGAAGTAGTTTGGCCTGCAGGCCTTTCCATCACGATAACTTTCTCCCCAGTTTTTTTTTTTTTTTCATTTCTCATCTGCATCACTGTCATGTGTTCTCTTTTTCTCTCTGCTGCTCAATCTGCTTTTGGGATAAAAAAGGGACAATTCAGTTTGTAAATGTAATCCTGAACTGTCTTGGAGCTACACCTGCAGCTGATACAATAAATAGCTAGTCATGTGAATGCAGATTTATTTCATGCCTTTTTCAAAAGAACATCTCTGTCTTTAAAATCACCAGACCATCAGCTGATTAAAAGAACTTAGTCTGTTGATGGTCTACTGAGAAACTTTTCTTTATAAGTACATGAAAAATTTTGTTCTTAATAAAGAGAAGAAAAACCTAAGTATTGGAGTTCAGTTTCTTGCTTTCTCTTAGGCTCTTTGGTAATCTCTTCATCTCAGTCCTTGACCTGCAAAAGGGAATAACATTAATTTACCTCACAGAAAGGAGGAGAACAATAAAACAGTTTTACTATTAAACTTAATGATAATCCTAATTATGCTAGAAGAGTTCATTCATGCAACTAGTGAGGAGAGAAGAAATCTGTTTTGACAAGATTAAAAACCAAATGAATAAATTCATATATATTACTTTGATAACAGCTCAGGAATACTGAGTTATTTCTTGCATAATACAGACTAAAGTTGTATTAATCAGACAGTGAATTTTGAACTCCTAATTTCTTAGAGCTCATTCTTAACATTAAATAGGCTCCCATTAAACTTGGAGGTTGCTTGTTTTCAAGACAGTCTCAGAATTAAATCATTTGCTAAGTGACTCTGAGGGGAGAACAGGTTAGGATTTACAGATAATACAAAAGCTGCACAAAATGTAACAAAATAAAAGATGCCCACAATCAGGTGAAAAGAAACAAAAAAAATGATGCTTAAAAGTTTGTGAGACTTTCTGAACTTTCACTATTTCTGCATAAATGTGGCCTAAAACACAATTTATTCTCCACATAAGTCTTAAAACTAGATAAAGAAAATCCAGTTAAATAAATGATTTAAAAATATATTTTAATAAAAAAATGTTCATTTATTTATTGAGAAAAATGATCTAAAGCTACATGTTTGTGTAGTATGCGAACCTTTGCTTTCAGTAACTGGTGTACCCCCTTTGGACAGAAATAACCTTGACTAAACATTTCTGGTAACTGTTGATCATAAGCTTGGAGGAAGATTAGCACATTCCTTCTTACAGAACAACTTCAGTTTATTAGTTCATTAGACATACATCAAAATCCTTCTTGAAATAATTTAAACACTGTCTCATAATATCATCATATGAACTGTCTTCTTGCATCAGCAGAAATATATTTGGGGATTGTATATAAAACATAAAGTTTACTACATGCATGAATTTTGTACAACTTAATCAACTGTACAGAATAATTGAATTCCTTTTAAAAATTGAGAGTCACTCAACAGTGCAGAAATAAATAATAATAATAAAATAAAAGTCTCCCATAGTTAATCATTCAAATCCATGAAGGTGCCAATTTTTTCCCCCAACTATTGTTCCATCAGTTTGGAGTCACTTAGCCTTAAAAGAATGTGTATTATGTTTCTGATGAATACGATTGCCTGTGTATTTTGCTATAAATCTGTTCTTTCTCTAATATATTAGTACAAGATCAGAGAATATATAAACACCTCCAATAACCATAGAAAGATTTCAGATCCATATTTTCCTTTCTTTTCATTTAACTAGGAGAATCTTCCAGGGCGAAATTATACATTCTGGCAGTGGTTTGATGGAGTGATGGAGGTCCTGAAGAAACATCTGAAGCCTCACTGGAATGATGGGTAAAAGTCCTATTCCCCATTCCCCTTCAACTTATTTTTCCCTGTCTAGATACTTTGCTGGCTAATTTCTCTCTATCACTTCCGCTTCTCTAGGGCTATTCTAGGTTTTATCAACAAGCAGCAAGCACATGATTTGCTAATCAGCAAACCAGATGGAACTTTCCTCTTGAGGTTCAGTGATTCTGAAATTGGAGGGATTACAGTTGCCTGGAAGTTTGAAAATGGTAAGTTCTTTTTCAACAACATTAATACCTATTTTGATCACCATGAGAACATTAGATCAGAACTTTTCTAAACAGATGTGGCACAAACAGTACACAGTTGTTACCCATTGTTGCTGGAATTCTAGGCCTCACCTGCTGTATCTATTGTAAGAATATCCTGTATTTCCTGCAATCCATAGAAAAAAATCTTTAAAGTCTGCAAGATAGTCTCTGCATATTGAGCATATATTATTTTATCTGATTGTGATCTGGGGTTTTTGCAGCTGAGAGAATGTTCTGGAACTTAATGCCTTTCACCACCCGTGACTTCTCCATCCGCTCCCTGGCAGACCGCCTTGGTGATCTCCCATATCTCACTTATGTGTATCCTGACAGACCCAAGGAAGATGTTTTCTCCAAATATTATATGCCAATCACTTCAGGTATTTGCAGGAAAGTGCCTAATTTTTTTCTGACCATTGCCTTTTCCAATGGATACATATATACATAATACTTTCATTCCCAGCAGAGGAACAATTTCAAATCCTTTCTCCTTTGGCCATATAAGCTGGATTACAATGATATATATAATTTTAGAAACATCCTTGGTATTACGGAAAATGTTAAAAATATTACCAGAAAATGTTTAAAAAATGCACTATTAAAAAGAGAGGTAAATGCTAGTGCAAAGGGAGAAGGCAGAGGTACAGCTACATTGGAGCTGCATATTTTTCTAAAAGATGGAGATAGTGATAAAGACAATTAAAGTAAAACAGATATTTTTCATGACTAGTTTTTGTTCTTTGGTGAGGAAGGAAAGGTTCTCTTAATGTCCATGTCAGTTGAATAGTTGAGAAGAATAAAATGTGTTTCAATTTACTTACTTATTTTGAGCAGTTTCAAAATATACTTATATGCAAATCTTCAACCTGGATTTTTCTCAAGAAAAGATTTGCAGAGCCACAAGGAAAAGGAATGGTGTAGCTTTCAGAATGAATATTGTACAAACAAAGCAGACAAACCAAATTCATTCTTTCCTCCTTGGGAAGAGTTTCAGCATGCATCGCTACTATTTCCAAAAGGGATTCCTATGTAAAGTTTGTCTTATACAGTAACTATATATGCTTCTCTCTCTCACACCCCATCTCCTTGGTTTTGCAGCAAAGGCTATAGATGGATACGTAAAGCCGCAGATCAAGCAAGTTGTACCAGAGTAAGTAATGTGGGTTGAGAAAATGCATTTTGATTTTTTAAAGGGAGGGAGAAATAAGGAAGAAGTGGTAGCTATTTACTTTCAATTGCAATTCTTTTTTTCCCAGCTCTCTTTTCAGAGTTATCTTTTCAGCTAGGAGTGCCATAATTGTGCTAACACCCCATCTTCAGGTTTAGTTATTCCATCTCCCAACGGGATTTATAATTTTAAAAACTTGAAGCAAGCAACATGAATCGAGTTTCCATTTTGCTAGCTTCAGTGCAAAGATAGGAATGAGAAAAAAGTTGATATTAAGGTGTTGTAGCTTGATGATTGCACTTTCTAAAAAAAAAAAAGGAGTTTGGGTTCTCTGTGCAGTTATGTCTCTGCTTTCTGATTCTTTTCAGACCAGGGTGATTGTGGATATTTATTTCAAGGAAGGAATCTGAAATGTGTATTCCTGCTTTCCATAAAATCATCCCCAAACAGTTTATGTTCTTCTTACCATTGAGGAATCCATTGGTGTCAGGCAAAAATCTTTCTCTGTTTCTGCTCCATCTGTTGTAGGTTTGCTGCCTCATCAGGAGACTCTATTGGTGTAGGGACTTCCTACATGGAACAAGCATCCTCACCGGCTGTTTGCCCTCCTGCTCCTCACTACAACATGTACACACAAAAGTAAGTGAGGCAAGACCTTTGCCACTGAAAGTTCTCTGCTATTGTAGCATGTTGTGTTTTATAGCTGAAAACATACTAATCTTGCAACATAAATATTCCGTTTGCATGTTCCTCCATCTGCTTTAAGAAAGAGGTTGCTGTCATATCACTGCCCAGTTAACTGAGGTTGGAAGAGACTGAGGAGTTCATCAGCCCCCTGGATGGGGAACGGAGTACATAAAAATAAGAATAATATTAAGAATATTAATATACTTAATAAGAAGAATGGTATTTGAGGAGAGACAGTAGTGTCCTTGGGCTCTTGCAGCTTTCATCGGAATAATAAAAGAAGTCTCAGAGCATTGTGCTGGGTGTCACCCCTTTCTTTTTTTTTCTTTTTCTTTTATTAAAATTTTTATAAAAGTTTTACAATATAATTCCTTCCTCCCCAAAACCCACCCTTCCACTCCCCCCTCACTCCCCCCCTTCCCAGAGCCAATCACAGGGTTAACAATACAATAATCATACTCTATCTAACATTAATCAACTATTAAAATAACAAATCTATAACATCCTTTAACTCTCTTTTAAACAAATATACTACTATTAAACACAATAATTATAACATCATATTAATAATTAGAAATAAAAATAAGTAAACTATTATAACATATAAACTGCATTAATACTCCAAGATTCACTCAAAAACCAAATGAAACTTTTTAGTCCCATATTTACTCTCAATATAATCTATGGTGTCACCCCTTTCTTGATGCACTCAGAAAAGGGACTATACCTGAACTGAAGTGCTGCTTGCATCATTTTGACAAGTGCCCTGTTCCCTCTGGGGACACCACTGTCCCTCTGGGGACACCACCTCATTTAAATTGCCACTAAACAGCTATTTGGAGAACAGTGTGATTTATGAAAAGGACATAGCATGGGAATGTTCCTGGACACCACAGTGGCAAACATTGTAAAGCTAGTTCTGCCAACTCCTCAAATCTCCAACTGGTTACTGCCACTCATGGAGAGAGCTTGTATAGTCTTATAGTGGGTGTTCTATTTTTGAATGCTGTCCCTATACAGAAAGAAAAAATAAATAAACCGGGAGAAAATGAAGAGGCACAAAAAGTGTGGCACACCAACATCTCGCTTATGATCCCCAGAGTTTCCCCAGAATGCATGGAACTTAAATTTGAGCCCTATGGAGAGGATATTTTGCCACTTGGGGAGTGATAATAATGTACCTTAAGCTTTACAGGTTCTTAAGACACCCATTTACTCTTGCAATGCCTTCCCCATATGTTTCCTGTTTTGGGGAGTGTGTCCTTCAGCATTCTACACAAATCCTTTTGCATTCCTTCAGTCAACAAAGGTTCTGCACTATAACTTATCATTTCCTATTGAAATAATTTTTTTAAAATTTACACAGAGATTTCTTTTTAATGCAAAAGGTGACATCTTTATAAAGTGATCCTATACGCACTTACCACAGTCTAAAATAGTAAATTCGTTCAATTCAGGCTTTCCCCACCTGCTTTTGTTGAAAATATAGCATGTTACCTTAACTCTATGGGCAATGTTTAAATTTCATCTTACCTGTGGGGTTGGGTATCCCACTTCTCAGTATTTCCCTAGTAAGAAAAAAGATGAAAACCTAAGAAATCATGTCTATAAAGATTAAAAAAATGTAAAGGATTAGGAAAAGTCATAGCCCTCCCCTCTCTAAATTGGAGGGGGAAAATGAATGAATTTGAGAGGACTACACATTTTTCTAAAGCCAGATCATTAGAATGTCTTCCAAACAGCCTCTTGAGAAAGTTTTCCGAAATAGATTTCAAAAACAGCTTTTTTGGAATTCACAGTTTTTCTCTCTTTCTCAGTCCTGACTCAGTGCTGGATCCAGAAGGAGACTTCGACTTGGATGATTCAATGGATGTGGCACGACATGTGGAGGAATTGCTGAGGCGCCCCATTGACAGCCAGTGGATCTCCCATAATCAGTCTTGATCCTGCCCCTTCCCTGGAGAGACCATGAGGCAACTGTGAAATATTAGAAGCACTTCCCTGAGGGAGTTTGTAGCTGCTGCAAGAATGGGTTTCCTCACCCTGTGGGGAATCTCTGGCTGAGAGGGTAAGATACCAAAGGGACAGTGGGTGCTGTTTCTCCCCTCACCCATGTGGGGAAGGCAGTAGAGTGTTTTGCTTGATTTTCCATCTGCTCTTCTGAGAAGCTTGCCTCAGGCTTTCCGCTTCTGCACACCGTCTCCTTCTGCCAAGCTATCATTTCATTTATGCTGGGAACCCTTCTCTTTCCTCCTCCTCCTCCTCCTCCTCCTCCTAGAATGTAATACACACTGCCCTTCTTGTCTAGAAGCCTTTTGGTATCTGGGACAAGAAGTGACTGAGCTATGGAGAGTAAGCCTTATTCAAAGTCTTGTCATTTAATGTCTGATTTATTTCTATTCTTTGCTCCTTCCAAGATATGCTTGTGCCTGCATTTGACTTACGCTTCCAAGGTACATGCCTGCGTGCAGCATTCTGTGTAAAAGAGGCATTCAGTCTGGGAGCATTGCTTTTTTTTTTGAGCCTTTGATGCAGTGCAGTCCACCCCTGCCTGAGTGCTCTGGAGCCCTTTTTTTGTAGGCCTACAACCCACTTCCAGCTTTTTCAATTTGCCTTGTTGCAAGATGCTTACTTACCTCTAAGTAATTTAGTGCTATTGGCTTTTGACATGTCAGATGCTTTTTTCCTACGAATCAAAAATACAGCAGATTGTGGAGGATGCTTTCATTAAAATACAGAATTACGCTTAGAATAATGGTTTCCCTCTTCTTGAATTTGAGGGCAATGACTGGAGAGCAGTTCCAAGGATTTGACTGCTAAGTACAGAGGAAAAAAGATCTTCTGACTTCTAAATGTCCCAACAAACTTTTATATTTCTCTTCTCTCCCTCCACTGCCTCCTCATTAGGCTGAACAACTGGGAAAACAGATTCATATATGCACTATTTTTATACCTAGTATTCAGTAAAGCTCAGATTATTTTAACAGTTACAGATTTTACATATATATATCTGTGGGCCAGGTGCTATATTTAGAAAAATGGTCCAATTTCTAGTCCAGCCACAATTATATTTTTGTTGGGATTTACAAACTACCCAACAAAAGTCATATGGGGCATGGGAGAGCTTATTTAAAAATATAAATATTAGGTAATTTTATCTAAGCAAAAAAAAATTTGCAACAGAGGAGCTTGACTACTTTTTACTCCTCGGGAGCTCCCCCAACTGCTGATTGAGCTAAGAAAAAGCATGTTATATGTACTTTGCCCTGGCGGTAACTCTTATAACAACTGTTTGAAGGTTAGAAAATATATATCTTTAGGGTAAACAAAGTCTAGTCACTTGGAAGTCATCCTTAAAGATCAGATATTGTTGAAACAATTTCTTGCTTTCTGCTAATATTCTGTTCTCAAACAAGTCATTTCTAGGAATAACTATGATACTCTTTAGGATAGTGTATTCATTATAGTGGAATCATCAGCAAATGCATCAATAGCTATTGTCTTTGGAAAATGAATTTTCCCCACCAAAATTAGGGTTATTTGCTTCACTACTGTAACTCACCTCTCTTGCTAATACCTGCGACATAAGTAAATTTCTCTCCTAACTCCCTGCATTATTTTGAAAAACTGGTAGTTAAAATTTATATATATATAAAAGCTTTTTCTTCTGCATAAGCTTATTATACTACTTAACTATTTTTAAAGATTCCTTCTTATCATAATACATTTATTTTCATCTTCTTTCACTGTGCAGTGATACAGTCATTGTTGCAGTCAGCAGTAGTATCTTACAGTATCTTTAGTATAGTCATAAGAAAGTCCTGAGGACATATCCCAGGACCATACAGTTATTCTACAGTAATAATTTAGTCTCTAGCACAAATTAAATATTTGAACTTTATTTACATTGATTTCAATTTTTTCATTCATAGTTTTGAAATCCTTCTCCTGATAGATTACTTTTTTCTCTCATTTTTGATTAGTCTTTTCATTGCCTTTATTTGAATGACTGTGGGCAATAATGCTTCTCAAATACCACTTTCTAAACTGGGATAGAATGTTCCTGGGAAGTATCATTTATACCCAGTTCAAAATCTTGTCATATCTTAGGCCAAACTGGTGCCCTCCAGATGTAATGGACACTAATACTTATCATTCCAGCTAGCAATTTATAGGGGTGGCTGATCTAGCCTCAACTTCCTTATTTTATCATCCTTATATGTTAGCTGACTTTCTTTCAAACTAGTTTCCTGTCTCAAGATTCTTTTGAGGTTGCACACAAACATCCTTACTGTCCTTTAAGCAAATATTAATAATTTTATGTAGTTATTGTATCAGCACAATCTTACAAAATCTATTATTAAGTTAGTAATCAATGGGATTCACTTCCAAATAAAAATACAGAGCAGAGATGGTGAATTTGCAGAGGTGGTGAATTTGCAGTCTCCCAGATTTTCTGGTTGCAGTTTCCAACATTTTGAACCATCATGATCAGTGGAAAGGGAAGGATGAGACTTGCAGTTTTCTGAACTACATATGAATCACATAATTCATAATTTCCCATATCTTATTTTAATGATAAGTCATAGCAGCCTGGTTCACACACTGCGTTAAGCCATAAAGTATGGTCAACGAATCATAACTGTGAAGGTTGTACTTGTCCAAAGCCAAATCAACCAGGTTATGATTTAGCACAATGTGTGGACCCCAGTTTTAATATATTTGCTGTTGTGTCTATAGTAGAAAACTGTCTTCAGCAGAGGAGTCTCCATTTCAGAAATTAAATTTTGGATTTCTGCACAAAAATGATACATTCTACTCCTGAGTTAAGGCCCTTTCCTGATCATAGTGGCATTTTCCACATATTTTAATTTGCATTTTTTATAGACTGCATACAGTACCTGTAACTACCAATGTGCTCATCAATCTCTCTCCCTGATATCTGTTAAACTTACTATACCATTTGACATTTATTTTAAAAAGAAAGAGAAATAAGACACCAGAGTGCTCTAACATTACCTTTATTGCTGGAAGTAATTCTGGACTCACACGGCCACAGAGACAATTCTTAGAGATGATGAGTGGCTGGCCCCAATGCTCTGGAAATATGTACATCTCTCCAGAAAAAAATCAAATACCTACGTTAAGGTGCTAAACAATCACCATTTAGTCTTGGATTGATGAATATTTGTAAGAGGCTGTTTGTACATGAGCAAGTCTACTTTGCATCTACTTTGCTGAGCCTGCTCACAATATGTTTCAAAATCTCACACATCTACAGAGGCTCCCTACTGCTCATCATTTACATGACTTTTAGAAACCTGAGGTTTTATTGAGCCGTTTCCTCCATAACAAGAACAACTCTCACCTTAACTAAGTTGTGTTCAAATGCCATTGGTGGCTGTTCAAGATCAGCACATAGAACTGACCCATAAGGATGCTTTCTGCTATATAGATTGGTATGCCCACTCAAAATGAAAAAATATCTGCAACAGAAGTATGTTGTTAATGTTAATGGTGCTTCTGTTTAATTTAGTATAAATTGCACACATATTCTTGGTGGACTGTGCCTACTTCATTTTCATTAGTCCAAATGGGTCTGGCTATTGTTTCATCGCGTGGAGGAAGATATCCATAAAACTGAGACATACAAACATTGCACTATTTTAAAGAATTGTTTTGCCAAATGTTTAAATGGTATACAGAGTAAATTTTTCTGCTAAATATATTGTTTGTGTTTGAAAAAAACTTATGAAGCTAATGTATTCATTTTTGTTTTAAACTGTAAAAGGGAGAACAGCCTCAAGATATATTGCTTAAATGCTTTTAAAGGGGTTTTTTTTTGACACAAAAGCCATTTATGTGAAAAAATATCCTTTTTTGATGAAATTATCCATGTTTTGAAAAAAATGTTGTTATCTTTGTGCTACAATAAAGTATTGTCAGGGTAGTAATGACTAATGTGGTTTTTAACTCCAGATACCCAGTACACTCAGAGGGAAAAATATTGTGCCTGTAACTGAACAAATACAATAACAATTTGGTTGAAATGCTCATAACAAGAAACACGAGCTACAGAGTTTATGTGCTAATAAATATTTGCAAAAGAAGTCCTTGAGACAAGTGGGAGACACAATGAGGCAGATCTGTATAGGTATTACATCATATCAGTATGGCTGTTTCACTTGTCAAAAAAGTGACACACTTCACACACCTGTCTTAATGCAATTTGGGTTTTTTCCCCTCCTTGAGTAATTTTAATATAGGACTTTTGACCATTTCAACTTTTGCATACTGTAAAATAATACAATGTATTTCAAAGTTGTACCACTATTAGCCTTATTTGTGGTCTATTTAAGAAACAACCAGCTGATAATGACATTTTTCCCAAACAGCAACTATGTTTTTCTTTTTTCATTTTGCTGCTTTTTTCAGGCTGCAGCTGAATTTTTTTTTAATATGAGCACATGATGTTTTACATATGAAAGTTGTGTTGATACATATTGTGCCACACAGAAAGCAGTTAAAACTATTACTTTTTAATATATTTTAATTTTTTGGTAACTTTGTCCTTTACATGTGAAAATTCAGCTACATTACAGAAAAAAAATGGTGCCTAGGCATATTATAGGTTTGTGTTTTAAGGCAATAATTCAAACAATTCTGTAGTGCTATAAGACACCGTGGCTTATTTTTGAATAGCCACACATAGATTTGTAGAGATTACTAAACCTGCATGACCCCTTCTATGTTTTCTGTGTTCCAGTTTCCTATTCCATTGCCACCAATTTTCAGTAAGTGGAGAGGAAAGCATTCGGCTTAGAAAAAAATGAATGAGATTTTATAAATGGGAATAGATTAGTGGGTGGGTGGGCTGGTGGGTTGCTTGGTTGGTTGATAAATGGGGCAGAATCGTGCCACAGTAACACATATTGCTGCATCCTTTGATTAGTAAAGAATATTGCCCTTCCCAAAGCAAATCATTTCTGATATTTCTGACAGCCATTTTTGGACATTTGGAACAATTTGGAATATTCTGCCTCATGATTCGCAATTTCTCTGTTCTCTGGGACAAGTAGGAAGAAGAATGAAAAACAGGCTAGCATTCTTCACTTGTATTCTTTTAAGCATTTTGCCTTAGAGCATTGGACTGAGCACTAACACACATCGAGAATAAGTTAAAAGCAGCCACTTGCATTCATTTTAACAACTTGCTTTCATTTTGCTTTATGAGAAGGGCATTCT